TAACTAAAGATTGTTAATGTAATGACGATAAACTAATGTTTAATAAATGTCTCGCATTTAATGCCTGTTTGCGATAAAAAAAAAAAAAAAAAAAAAGATTTCCGAGTATATTAGTCTTACCCGTATCACTCCTACCAGTAAATACCTTACTGAAAGGCCATGTTATTGCTGGATGTCTAACATTTCGAGACGATTCATGCTTTGTAGCCTCATCCATATCCATAAGATAAAGTTTCATAGGTGGTAGGCTCGATAAGCCATGATTCGGAGAAGAGACAGAGTCTCGAATTTTCAATTCATCGCCTAACAGCCTGCTCTGCAATATTTCTTTCTTTCGGTTTTTTTGTATGACGGATTGGGAATCCATAACTATGATTTCTATAGATTGGATAAAAAATTTCTGGTGTGACGACAAAAAATGCAACACCATCGTCAGTGTGGTTATATGTATTTTATGACATTTTCGATTTTTTCTCTCAAGTTCGAAAAAAATTAATAACGTTTTTATATGCTTTAGTAGAACCTTCTTTGAAATAAATCAGAGAATGCGAAATATAAATCAAACAAATGCATCATACTTATAATCCTTTTGAACAACCAGAGTTAATTGCACATATTATCAAAAATCTGATATTAAAGGATCTTGCAACATGTCTTCATACCAATTTTATATGGGAAAAAGAAGTGAGACGCGAGTTTTTTATAAGGCAAAAAAAGTTTAAAAATAGATATCGGGACTTAAGGTGCAAAATAAAAAAAGCGATAAAAGATCTTGATAGTTGTTTTGAATGTAAGACTGATCCAGAGATGTTTACAATGGGACCATTGATTCGAGATACTACAGAACCCAGGACAAGATTTGATTCTCTGCTTAATGAACAAGAGGAAACTTTTAGTAAACTGCAAGAATTAGAAAAATGTATGTTTAATATCTGCGGAGCAATGCACTCCGTGCCTGGTATTATCAATGAAATAAAATGCGAGTCATATTATTGGTGTGAATAATTTTGAGATATGTTTGCGAAGCAAAGCACTACGTGCCTCTTTTTCTATTGTGGATCAATGGCTCTTCGAGCCTAGACATCTCATGTATGTCGCATTATAACAATATAAATAATATCGAAGTTCAAATAGACAGCCTGTTATTGGATCCATGTATCTCATAGCCGATCACTTTTTTATTGCGGAGCTGGCCATAAGGCGATTCTTTGAATCCTGGCTCTTCAAGCCTACCTATATTTCACGTACGTCTCAATACCACGAACCACATAACGGCAATGATTAACAGGGTAAGAAAAATATATGCTGATAAAGGTGACATCAACGTGCTTGTCATAACAGGGAGAGGCAAAGCCTTGAGACTAGATCTCATCTGGGAATTCGATTCAATCAAAGAAAATATATTATTTTCCAGGTGTGCAAGGTAAGGAGTTGTATTTTGAGGCATAGCCTCTGATACATTGGGTTTTATCGATATATCTAGCATATTATCTTTGTTAATTTCGCTAATGCTAGTTTTCTCACTTATCTTAGGACTAATCTCAGTATCATTTTTTGATAGTTCGGTAATCTCATCGATTTTTTCTATGTGCCCTGGCACTAGCTCCACTATTGGATCCATATTTTTTCTGCGTATAAAATATTTACTTAGATCACTATCCCTGATTATATTTTTTTCGACATCTCCACCAATGACAGGTTTTGGCCATGCCAGCTCTGCTGATATAGCCTCCGATTTCAGGCACTCAAGTTCATTGACCTTTGAATCCAATTCGCTCTGTATATTTTCTAATTTTGCTATTTTGGATTTGAGAGATAAAATTTCAGATTCTTTTTTCGACGAGTCCTTTTGCATAGAAATCACATCTTTTTGGGCGGAAGACAATTTACTTTCCAATGTCTTGATTATAGACGTGAGTGATTTGATTTTCTTTAACTTTATAGTATTCTCAGCTTTGTACTCGACATGAGAAGTCTGTGATCTCGTAAGCTGGGATGAAAGGTCAATATTGTCAACTTTTAATCGTTTTATCTTATTGATAAGTTGTATGCCATCAGTATGAATTTGCTGGTTATCCAAATTAACCCGTTTTAAATCCTGATCCCATTGCTTCCTCTTCCGATCCCACTTCTTATTTTGTTTTAATTGATCGGCTCTCAATGATTCATTGCAAGCATTTAGATTGGATATAATTTTTGTAGCGTAACACAATTCTTCATTAATACCCATAACAATAGTTAAAAATAAATTGTAAATTATATTCGAATAAAATAAACAAAGCTAAATATATATGTATTTTGGACTTAATATATCATATAGAATAAATGTAAAAAATGGAATACATATATATACTAGATTAGACGTTTGTATTAACTGAATATCAGACTTATATATTTGATGTATTACATTTTTTCAATTTATTTTATATTTTTCATTGGATATAAATATCTTATATTTTTAAATCAACAAAAAGAACAAAGTATTAATCACTATGGTTAGAGTATGTATGAAATGTGATGCACCCCCATTTACAGCCGAAGATTATTCTTATATTATGGAATGTTGTGATATAAAACCAAGGTATAAAATTTTAAATAAGTTGATGGATAAGTATAAAACGTTAACAAAACGTATTTATCAGATTTGGAGGGGGGTAGAAGCCAATAGAGTTTTATAGGATCAGCCTATATCATACTCATATGACGATGTCTCTAATTTTACGTCCCCAACATATCAAAATACTAAGTGTCAGTGGCAAAGCCACGAGTCTTTGACTCAAGACACTAGCTCCGCTAATATATCCAATTCCTCCATGAATATCCTTCATATAGAGTCCAAATCTTTAGTCTCAGAGTCATAATTTAGAGAATCATCTAGCAGATGGCTCTGTTATAGATAGTGTATCAGTAGAGCCGGTACAATCAAGTAAACAAACAAAAGCAAAGAAATCCAAATCTGTTCGAATATCAAACTCACCTATTATTTCAGAGGACTCAACAGAAAAAATAGATGCAGAGACAGTTGCTCATCTTAGACATGCTATAGAAGGAAGTAAGAGAAATCTAACAAAATTGGGTTATAAAATCGATGAGACATAGATTCAACTTTACCCATTCCTCTCTCTATTTTTACTAGATAATTCCATATGATATTGAATAAAGGAATTGAGATTATTAATAATTTTAGTTGCTTCATACATTTCTTTCTTATACTCCTCACAATTTACACATTTTTTTTTAACTTTGACTGATCAAAACCTTCAAGAGCATGCTATTTCTCTAATGGTTCTAATGCCTCTGTATCTTGAGCGGTATTCAATATTACTGTAGTACAACAGCTTGATATCTTACTTGAAGGTTGCTTCTTGTTAATATCTTCATTTGGTTTAATAAAAGTTGGGATAATGTAAGATTTTCCACGAACTGTCATTCGGAATTCATGTTTATCTGAATCTGGAATTCCTTTAACTTTTCGGATAAATGGCATTCCTAAACAAAGAAGATAATCTGTTTCTTTATCATCAATAACTACAATATTTACCGTTACTGTAAGCCACCCATTCTTATGTTTTATAGATATTGCAACATCTTTATGTCCTCCTATTAATTTGGTTATGTGATCTGAATTATAAGTAAGAATAAAATTTGGTGCAATTCCAAGATCCCACCCTAATGCATTATTTAATGCTTTGTTCATAAGAACACATTCGGATGCAGTATCTGAAAATGCCTCCAGAATATCTATATCTTCTATTTTACATTGCATATATTCAAGAGATTCAACCCATTTATTTTTTGTTAATAGATTGATAATTTTTTCTCGTAATGCTGGAGATAATAATTGAAATAATTGGTCATCTGATTCTGGAAAAAGTTTAGATTCTTTACTCAAAGATTTACATGAGCCAGCCTCTGGTTGTGGTGTTTTATCTATTAGTAATAATATCTGTTTTTTTTTTCATTCAAAGATTGGTTCATGTCAGAATTATTGTCATATCATATATTATCTTCTTCATTATATCCACTATTTTCTAAAAAAAAAAAAAAAACTCTTTCCCGTAAAACCATCAGTTCTTAAAAATTGCCTTTTTTGGTAATTTTAAGAACAT